CCCCCCCCGACTACTCTACCTTGACCCGATTCCTGCCCCCCCCCCCCCCCCCCCCCCCCCCCCCCCCACCACGCCACCCCCCCCCCCCCCCCCCCCCTCCTCCCCTTGCCCCCCTCCCCCCCCCCCCCCCCCCCCCCCTCTCGCACGGACGACCACAGACCCGATTCCCGCGCCCGGCAACCGGTACCAGCCCGGGCGAAAACCGTTCGCGGGCCTCCAGAACACGTTCTCGTGAACGTGTTCTCAAACCGTTCACGCGAACGGGCGAACGTGTTGGCCCGAACGGGAAGGGCCGTGAACACGTTCGCCGTGCTACGCAGGTTCATCTATATTCTGAATAAAGTGCACCTTTTGTGCCTTTGTGATCGCTCTCTCTCCCTGATCCCGCTTGCGCCCCGTCATCCATCAAGATCCTCCCGTCTCCCCACAGCAACCCTGCGCAGGAAGTCGCGCGATTACAGAAGATAGTTCGTCACAATCACACATATTTCATCACTGGTAGAGATTTGTGCTTAGTCTTGATGGATAAAGATCATACATATCACGTCATATCATTGTTAGGGTTTTGTGTTTAAATTTTGATAGATACAGAATACATACATCACATACACATCACACATACATATACCACATGTATCACAGCTTTGTTAGGGTTTCATGGATCTGCATAGGGGTGCTGGGCCCGATTTCCAGCACATACATTCACATCACCGTACAGGGATGCTGGACCCGATTCCAGCAGATACATTCTCATAATTGTGCAGGGACGCTGGACCCGATTTCCAGCAGGTGTAGCTCCCCACCAATACATGGAGCCTTCGACGCCAGGGCCTACTTACCGGGGATGCTCTTTTTTGTTTTTTAAAGGCTAATTCTCCCAACCAATTCAATTACATGTCAAATCTGGACAGGACGGACTTTCAGGCCTTTTTTATTGTCATTATAGTATTACGTAGCAGCCACATCGGTGCTGAAGCCTCCAACGAGGGAACATGTGGGAGCTGCACCCACCAGCAGGTGCGATACCTGCTACAGCAGGCGGGCTATACCGGCCAGGGGTCAGCCGGTAGCATCAGGACGGAGCTTCTTAGATGGGCCAGTCACTGTTTTTTTTTTTTTTTTTTT